ATTTTCTCTCTTATTTTAAATATAAAAACTAGTTAATTGAATTATTATACATTAAAAATATTAAATTAGTTATTTAAAAAATGTGTTGATTCTTCTTTTTAATAATTTATATTGGAGTATTATTAACATGGTCTATATATCAATAATTAATAATTAATTAAATATAAAAGTAGTTTAAGAAAATAATAATAAACACGGGAGGTAATAAATTTTTTTTTTTTTACATTTAACACCAAACCAAATTTTTCAAAAAGCTTTTAAATTTTGAGGAGTGTAAATATATAATATGCACTTCTCGTCCAAGCATTAAACAAAAAGCTGACAAGAATTCCGCGAGCCACTACTAAAACGAAGAAATGAAGCAATTTGATATGCCTGGGAGGTGAAAAATTAATGGGCCAAATCAAGCACGTGGTTATGTTTAACAAGATACTGGAAATTAGACTTGTTATTAAACTAGTCAATGAACTAATTGAATCAATTAATAAGATATTAGTTTAACAATATACTAGAAGTTCAATTGACTGGATTGACCTAAATTTTGATATTATGATAGTCAGGATATTATTATGATTCGAAGTGAGGTTTTCTTCATGGACCCAAATCTATTCCCATTTTTGTCGTAATTTATCAATTATTATGACTATTTTGTCATTTAATTTGAAGAGATGTGTAATCTTTTTTGTTTTTGTTTTTTGTTTTTGTTTTTTTTTAAATCCGATGAGATGAGATGCAAAGCACTCTTCCAAGATATAGAAATGGTCAAGCAAGCTGAGGTGCTTAGTTTCTTTTTTTTTTTTTTTATCGTCCTGAAAATTGAAAGGCTAAAAATGTTAATCAATTGTATTACATAGTTCTTTCTTTTCTAGCGTTGATGTCTTGATAGTTCATGCCGACCAAAATATCTTGCTATCCTTTTCATGTCAACCAAAGATACTTAGGATCTGTATATAAAAATAACTTTCACGAAACTGATCTTTCTCCCTCTCCGTCTCCATCCAGACAAGGGGATTGCTGCCAAACATGACCCAAATCTGAGTGATGAAGATTAGATATTTTTTCAAAAAAAGAAACAAGACAGTGGGACACGGCTTTTTTATATTCACTCCATTAAAAATATAAGACAGTGGAACAAGGGGAGTTAGATGTTTAAAAATATAAGATATTTTTAGTCTTTTGAGGTTTAATCATTATTTTTTTTTTTAAAAGTGTCCCCATTGATAATAACTTTATATTTATTGTAGGATGTTTAATAGGAATAAATATAAAAAAATAGGATTAGTTGAATAGTAAATAACTATTTTATTGAGGGTGAGATTCGGTTTAAAATGCCTTATATTTTTTAACAAAAAAAGTATTATATATAGTTCATGAACGTGACAAAAATTGCCTAAGTTTACTGTCAAATGACAACGAGGTTGCTATAAAAAATGTGCAACATGCAACGGCATGTGATGCTTGCACAAAGAAGCGTGGCATAAAGAAGAAGCTGACATGGTGCATGTGTACATAGTGCAACGCACTGCTTTATTTTTTAGTTTTTGATACTTTTTAACTGTTTTTGGATTTTTTCACTCGGCTGAAATATCTCATACTTTTAAAATATTATTTTACTTTGATTATAAATTTGATAAGTGATTTTAATCTATTTTAAATTATTAAAACATAAGATTCCATTTCAACAAGTTACAAACTTGGTAATCTCATTTGGGTTATTCCCTTAATTACTTTAGATTTTAAGTATTAATTGTGTTTAGTAAGGGAGGTATTACATTCCCACAATTCATCGATCTGGTAACTGACTTTCTAAGATGGTTCAGCTGTGAATCGAATGCAGGTATACCCACTTGAAGGCAAATTATAGAATCGTTGCAGGACTGAAAATGGAGGTGTAGAGAGAAAAAAAAATTGGGGATTTTGATATGGAATTGGGGTCGATGATTGAGATACCAAGCAGGGCTTAGAGATGACAGTTGACGAAATCAGAGCAATTGGGCGGTGATGCGCTGAGGAAATAGAGAAGAGATCAAAAGAATGGAGAAGAGGACACGATTGAGGAAGAAGAGAGTCACATGGATTTTTTTTTTTTAAATGTCATGCAGCTGCCACATGTTAAATGCACAATCAACAAACGATCAACCTAACGAGAGGAAAAAATTGCTCTCTCTTTTTTCTAAAATTTTAAGGCAAAATAACTTGGAATAAAAGTTTAAGATATTCAATGCCTCTGAAAAAAAAATGTCATAATATTTTTAGCTTTTAACTCTTTTTAAATTTTAAGTAAAAAAACAAAATAAAAGAAAACATAAAAAATCCTAGAACTACCTTAGCTAAACCTCTCTAAGCAGCAAGCAAACGGCACACATGAAATGAAGTCACGATTCAATACTCACAAACGAAGTTGCGACCCTTATAAAATGAAAATCATCATGATAATGTTGCTGATATTGCTACCAAAGTTTAGTTTTTATTGATGTTGATTTTAAAGACATTGCTCTGATATTAGATTTAGATGTTTATGCTTTACAGACTTGTTATGAATTTACTTAAATTTAGATGGTCATTTTTTTGTAACTTTAAGGTCCTTTTTCATAATTTTATGGAGGGTTAATAGTTAAAGTTAAATTTTATTAATGATAGGGGTAATATTATACATTTTTTTAAAGTTAAAGGAGAATATTGTACTAAAAATAAATTCAAGATTCTAGACCTTTTTAAATTTATTGTTCAAGGGTGAAGATGTCCTTTATTTCTAAAACAAATTAAACTAAAATGTCACTGTAATTAATATTTAATTTTTGCTCTAATTTAATGATATTATCCATTTATGAACAGAAGTTAATAGAGGCCTCAAACTCAAATTCCCCACCCCCTCCGCCTCAGCCCCACTCCCCTTAATAATATTCACAATTACGTCACCCGAGTTTTGATTTTTGTTTCTTCATTTTAATTAATAAATTATATTTTTATGGCATTATCTGTTGGCTTCTGTTGTTATTATCTGACCCAACCTTCTTTGTTTTTTTTTTTTTTAAGTTTTATACGTTGGTTGATCATTTCCAAGTCGTATTTTGCTTGATGGTCAGAAAAAGAAAGTTACTATATTTTGGTTACTTCTCAGCTCCGGTCTGCGCTCGTTGTTTGTCTCTTGTTTTAGATTCCTAGGCTCTATGTGTTTTGGTTTTGTTAGGCAAAAATACAAATATTGGGTTGGATATTTCAATTGTTTATGTTACTGAATCTGACTTGGAACTGAATGAAAATGAACAGCTAGCCGGTCCATGATGCCCGTTGCGAAACAAATAATTAAAATTTGTATAATTTATATTCCTTTACACGTGCATTAATATATTATAAAAAAATTAATCTTTTAATCCTTTAACTTTTAACTCACTTGTAACTCAGTCTTTCAACTATAACTTGCTGCGATTCAGTCTCTCAACTATAACTCGTTGCAACTTAGTGTTTCAACTTTTAATTTACCTATAACTCGATTCTTATTTTTTAATTTTTTTTAAATTTTTTTATCAAATAAGAGGATTAAAGAAATGCTCATATATTATTTTAAAATACGCTCTTCTTATTTATTAATGTAAGATATAAGCTAACATAAAAAAAATTAATAAAAATTAAAAGACTAATTTGTAAGTGATTCAAAAGTTGAGAGATTGAGTCATATGTGAGTTATAGTTGAGGGATTGAGTCACAATAAATTATAGTTGAGTGATTGAATTATAAGTAATTTAAAAATTAAAGAATTAAAAAATTAATTTTTTTATAGTATATCATTGACCGTGCAGGGATCAGTTCAACTCTTCGTGGTTGTTCCATCCATTCGCAGTCACTGTGACAAGTTGCAAGTGTTTATAACGTGTCCAAATCATATTGTCATATCATGTCATGTGAAATCACATGTGATTTTTTTTAATTTAATTAAACTTTTATAATTTGATAATAAATTTATTAATCTTAAAAGTTTAAAATTTTTGATTTTTTCATCAAAGAGTTTAGATCTAGAATCTCTCATGATATAATAAATTAAAATTTAAATTTTCCTTCAAAAAGTTGCCCACATGCTTTTAATATGTGACTATGCTTTGCACATTATTGCTTTTAATAGAAATTTATTTATGAGTAATAATTTTGATTTTTTAAAAATAAAATTTTGAACTTTCATAATTTTATAAAAAAATTATAATTTTAAAATTAATTACATATTTTCATAATTCAAAATTTATACAATTACTTTATATTTTCTAAATAGTCTTTTTATTTATAAAATTTTCATAAAAAATAATAAAAATGTAAATATTGTATCAAATCAATTTTTTAAAGGTATTAAATATTTCCTCCAGTCCTATTTATAAATAGTTTTTACTAATCTCATCAATACTAATATAATAAAAATATAAGAAATAAAAGTAAGTGAAATTTTAAACATAATCATCAAGTAAAAAATAAAAAGTAAGTCAATCATATAATATTATTTTTTATCTTTCTTTTCTTACTTTTTAAGGATAATTTAAAAATTTTAATTTGAAATAAAATAATTTCATCAATAAATGACTTATAAAATGAATTAAATTATACTTTTAAAAAGTAATTTATATACTGAACTGGAGGAGTAAAATATATTTTTATTTGTATATATAATATATTTAATCCATCGAATTATAAGAGCTTAACTTAAGCAAAACAAAATATGTGGACATAATTTAAAATTAATAAAAAGTAGAAAGACGTATGATTATTATATTATTTTTTGGGTGAGTGGGAGGCACTGGATGAGGGTAGAGGAAATTGAAAGGAAAAGGGAAGACGGCGAGCACAGTGTAAAGGCATGGCGGAATCGGCGACACGCAACACAACACAAACAAGTCACCGTCTTCCCATCTCATCACACACCATCTCCATTTTAAGAGAAACGGGGAACACGTGCTCCTAATTAATATCCAACGTTAAAAAACCACGACGCCCAACAATGACACACCATCCCTGTGACTCTCCAAACCCCACCGTTTCGCCGAAATTAATTCACTCACCTCATCACTTGTGCCTTGCGTGTTTTCCAAGTCCTCCTCTCTCTCTCTCTCTCTCTCTCCATCTCCCTCCCTCCCTCCCCACTTTATATGTATCACTCTCATCTCATTCATCATCTGTCTCTCCTTCTTTTTCAGCTTCCCTCCACGACATCGTTTTGCTTAAATCTTGAAGATGAGGAGAAATTGCAACCTAGAACTTCGTCTCTTTCCTTCTCACGATTCCGACCACCACGTCCACCACCATCCCATGTAAGATCTCTGTATATGCAATAGCCAACTTGGCTTCTGTTTTTGTCTTTCTCTTGCTTGTGACTTACATTTTGCACTGATTGTGTTGTTGGTGGGCTTGTTTTGTTTATATATATTGATCAATGATTAAGAATGGGTGAAGGGGATAAGAATCATGAGAGTGAGATGATGAGTCCAGAGGATGAAGGACAGCAACAGAAGCTCACCATTTTCTATGATGGCAAGGTTTGCGTTTCTGATGTCACCGACCTTCAGGTCTGTCACTATTTCCTTTCCAATTTCATATCTATGATTTCTCCGGCAAATTTTAATATATAAGGAACGACCACGTGAAAAGAACAAGTAAGTGAAGAGCAATGAATGGCGACAGTAGACCATATTTTTTATTCAGAATTTCAAATGAGTGTTGGAATGAATGGTGAAAAGATGGGAAGAGATCGAGCCAAGACAAGAAGAAAGTAGGTATGGTATGAAGATACTTGATCATTACTTGTGGCTGTTATCAACAAGTTAGTTTCCACGAAACTTCATCGGACCTGGAAACCAGAGACTATTCAATGTATTCTTTATTTCATGACTTGGATTTTCTTGAAACGAATAAAAAAATTCTGACGTTACCTAATAACCCTACGGGAATTTTTATGATGTGGAGTGTAGGTAGAGTTTAGGGTGTTTTTTTTTTATTTTTCTTTTTTTTTAACTTGAACAATACTCCTCCAAGTTTCATTTACAAGACACATTTTAGAAGATATATTGGATCCTATTTTTAACTCATGATGCAGCCTTTTAAGTATTTAAAAGATGTTTTTAAAATTATCATTTATGAAAGAAAAAAAGTAACCTAATATTATTTTTTAAATTTTGCTATATATGGACATATTTAAAATTCTACACAATTTTATTTTTTATATTTTTTTGTATTAGTTTGATGAGGTTGGTAAAAATAACTTACATAAAAAATTGGACAAATAGTAAGTGAAAGCGCGTTTGTGTACCGTACGTGTGTGCATATATATACTTGAAAATTACTCAATGCTTTTAACTAATTTATAGTTCTCAAAAAGTCATGAGTTGGTTTTTTTTTTTTTTTTCAGTGAGAAATTAGTTAAGATGATTTAAAATTACACATGTTCTTTGATGCAGGCAAGGTGGATAATGAAGGAAGCGACGAAGGAGGTGGAGGAGAAAATGAAGAGATCCTTATCATCGTCAAGCTTGGGACAGAGTCAGATGTGTAGCCCTAACACTGCACTTTCCATGAAGAGATCTCTTCAACGCTTTCTTCAGAAGCGAAAGGATCGCATCCACGAATCATCTCCTTACCATCCTTAAACTTCATCAACCTGCTTCATATGCATCATGATGATGATGGCGGCCTTGTATATTATTACAATTGCTTGATTAATCTCTCCGTACTCTTACCGTTATATCTCTCCTTTATGTAAGATTTTCTTTTTATAAAATATTTATGTGTGTGTGTGTGTGTCAACCATTGGCATTGCTTTAGTTTTTTTTTATTTTTTATTTTTTATTTTTTTAATTCTGTCCGGACAGTTAATTTGGGGCACTCCACTATCTACGTAGCTTGTTACCTTTTTCTTCTTGTAAAATACTTAAAACATATTTTATTATATATACATATGTACGTATGTATATGTATGTATGTAGGTATGTATGTATGTATGAACATGTATTGTTTTGGATTGGGATTGGAGAGACTTAGCTTGCTTGAAGTTTTCTACTTCTTCGTCTTATAATATTCTTTTGTTACCGAAGATCACGTTTCTTTCACCACTTTACATTCTTTCAAAAAAAACAACATACTACTTCTCTTAAAATTGTAAGGCATTGATTATCAAATTTTATTCTTAATAAAATAATTATTTATTTTTAAACTAACTTTATTTTTTTATATTTATTTTTATTTAATAAAGTATTTTATCTTAAAATATATATAAAGTAATTTATTCAATGTGAATACTTTTGAAAAAGATAAAGATTATATTTTAAAAGATTAAAAATGTTTTACAGACACAACACAATGGAGGAAGTAATATATTTTGTGCACTGCAACAAAATCTATGAAGAGTTATATGTTAGTGAATAGTGTATGACTCCTTTTATTTCTTTATGCCGTGTATAATAAAGAACATTTTTTAAAAAATGACAATAAATTTTTTTCAAATTATGTAAATGATAATATGATCCTTCAAAATGTCATAATATTAATGAAGTCCTTAAGGACCTCTTTGTCAATGATTTTTATAGAAAAAAGATCATTTTATCTTTACTGAAAATAATAAAATTCAATTAGAGAAATCACAACTTTTATTTTATAAATTACAAGATTTTAATAAAAAATTATAATTTATCAAGTGTAATTTTTGTTATTGAAAAACAAACTTCAATCACAACTTTTATTTAAGGAATACTCACAATTTTTATCTGTAAATTGTAAAAATTAAATTAAATATTACAACTTGTTAAATATAATTTTTATAATTAAAAAATAAGTTATCAAAATAAAAAACTCCATTCATATTTTTTCTTTAAAAAATCACAAAAATTGAACAAAAAATTATAATTTGCTAATAAGGGTAAAATGATATTTTTTTCAAAAAAGTCATTGATAAAGAGGTCTATAAAAATTTAATTGATATTATGACATTTTGATAGATTAATTGTCATTTTCATAAGTCAGAAAAATTTTATTGTCATTTTTCCTACATTTTTTAGTTATACATATAGGACGTTGGATAATTCTTATAATTTTTTAATTATTATTTTTATTTTATTTTTTATTCATTTTTGAAAAAAATATTAGTCCATTGAAATTTCAATTATAATTTTTAAGATATTTATATAGGACATTTAATGATAATACAATTGGAAACGTGTATAATTTTTTAAAGAATTAAAATTTTAATTAATTGTTTTAGAAATTGCGAATTAGTTAGTCAATGCATTGTTGGAAGCATGTTATGTGACATTATGATGATATTCACTAGAAAAAAGATTACAGCCATAAAACTTCGTTCACTTCATTCAATTTGAACTTTAGGCGATCCAGAATCGCATGATTAATTGGACCAAAAGTTTTTTTTTTTTTAACTTTAGAAAAAAGAGACATGACTCTTTGATGAGCGAGATGGGAATGAATACTCTAAAATTGAGAATATATGAATTTTTTTTGAAATTTGTCTTCTTAAAAAGGAAAAGGCATTTTATGTTTTATACAAAATAATAAAATGAGTAAAAAAAATTCACAACAATTTATGAAAATCAATTTTAGTATATTAAAATAGAGATTGAGAAAATCGCATAATGTAAATATTATAATTGTGCGTTGAAAATATGTGATTATTACTTTTTTTTTTGGACAAACAAAATATGTGACATAAGAATATGCGATTATTTTAATCGATCAAATTGAATCATGTGAATTGGTCCACGAAGAACTATTAAAAGACCTTTGACTTGCAAGCGATTCATCCAATCCAATGACGAGTCATCGTGGATCAATTGATGAATTCAATTTCATTTACTTTCAAGCTCTCCTAAGAGAGAATGAAACACTCTCCAAAAACATGTGATTTCATTCAACTGCCACGCTACAATATCTCATCAATAAATATTCCCTTACACTTCTTAAAAAAGTAAAATTAAGACTCTATTTAGTAAAAAAGAATAGAAGATTGGGTCTGGGACTAATACTGCAAAAGAATCAATTTCATGTGTTTGGTATGAGAGATTAAGTCTAATTTAGGATTGCTTAAACCCACCTATGTGAGTTTATTCAAACCCACCCCTACATGGTATTGAAAAACTAGTTTTGAGTTTGAAAATTTTGGAAATGAAACTATCATTATTTATTATTATTTTTGGATAAAAGTGTCCTAGTAAATTTTACCTTAAACATGCCTAACAAAACCCTCATCACCATTGTAGCTGTGAAGCGCTTTTTTCCATTTCCTTTGTTGATCTCATCACAAGCGCTCATCTCCATTAGTTGATCTCCATCATTGCACGGCATCGCAAACCTTCGTCTTTAAAGCAGAGAGTGATTGTGGCAAACAGGCAGAGCGAGAGTGAGCACACAATGTTCGTGACAAGATGTTCACAATAATGAAGGAACAGGGCTATGACAAGGGGAGGGAGGCTGAGTTTGATTGCAATAGAGACGGGTTTTAGGTTTACAATTTTTTATTGATTATATAGAGTATTATAATCTTTTTATAATTTATATTTAATTAAAAATAAAGGAAAAGGGAAGTATTCTCTACAATTGTTACTTCATACAAAATATAATTTTAAAATCTTATTCCCACTATTAATGCCAGTGTCAATCCCAATCCCTCCAAACTCAAGCATGCGTACAAAACAAAGGCTTGAGGGTCTTCAAAACCCATTTAAATTGATTACAATAAACCAAACTGAACCAAATCAATATAAATGAATAAAAATAGATTATAAATGAGGTTTTGTTTCGTTTTTCTTACAACAAAATTGATTAGTTTAGTTTGGTTTAGGTTTTTGTTTTTGAAAACATAAACAAATTGAATTAAGTCTTATTATATTTATTATATATATTTTTATAAATTTTTCTAAGTTTTTTGCCATTTCAAGTTTGTACTTTCTATATGAGCTATGGAAAGCTTAACAAAAATAAGAGCATGTAATTAATCTCTTATTGCACATGTGATTTGGCAACCTGCCCACCCAAATATTGTGGGGCTCCAACTCAAAACTTTAAAGTTTTCTTCTTTATATCAACATATATAGTTCTTTATTAACTAAATCAAAATGAATATATGATAATAGTAATCTGACGCTTAAGGCGTCACAAACCATTCACCTTCGGTTCTTGTAAGTTACATTTTAATATATTTCTATGGTTTTAAAATTGAATTGCTTGCATGGAATACGGAGGGAGTACCTAATATTGTTATTCAAAAGGAGGACATCTTTATCGAGTCATTTTTTATACAAGGTCACGGATAATTCTGTTAAAAAAAAAATCAAATTATGTCAGAATTCAAAAAGAATCTGCAACCAGGCAGTGGAACGTTATTTCAAAAATTGTTGTGTCAAGGTTGTCATTTGTATTTTAAAGTAATTATTATTTAAGGTTATGTACACATATTAATAAAACTATCACTTAACCTAAACAAAATCTAAGAATATTTATCTAAAATATCTACATATTACAATATTAACTAATCCAAACGCTTGAATTCCACCTATCATTATTTTTAACAAAAAGGATAACTTGACATAAAAAAGTATGTTTTATTGAAATTTTAAAGTGATATGATTATTTTGAAATTTGAAATTTTAACATTGATATTGATCTTATGACAGTATTATTATCACAATAAAGTGTTGATGATATTTAATTAATTTACGGATATGTGTGAACCTCTTTGGTAGTTTAGTGAAACATGTTTTCGAACCAACTTGAAAAGGATAGTCAAATTAAGGTGATGGCGGATGGGATGCCAAATGATTCTTTATTATCTATATATTGACTTTTAATTAGTAACACCTAAAATCATAGCTTTAATTTCATTTTTCACTTCTTCCACTAATTTACACACTCATCATATATATATATGTATGTTATGAATTTTCCACATGTTGCATATTTTCTAATTACAAATTGCGAATAATCGTTGGCGACGTGACATGCATGTTTGATTCATGCTTATCCGTATAAAAAAAGTTAAAAAAAAACAATAATAAAAGTAAAGTATATGAAATCAAAAGAGCATGTTTTTTAGGCTGGTCAACAAAGAATGATTATGCTTGGGTTGGGTTTGGTTAAAAAAAGGATAATGGTTTAGACATAAAAATTTGGTCCATTAGGTTAGATCTATTACATCCACTTATCCAATATAAACTTGACACGTCACCTTTTGTCATAACTTGGCATTCTTTTTATAAACATCATAATTTTAACTCATGTGATGGTGCTCCTGTCTGTGTCAATTTCTTATTGGATAATTTTATGTAATAACAAGTTTTCTCCAGGTTTAAATCTACGTTTCATTTTTTTACAGTATCAATATGCATAAGTATGAAAAAGCACTCGCAACAAAAAAAAAAAAAACCAGAATTACATTTTATAAATCATTCACTTTTTGTTGCTTGATATTGGAGCAATATAGAAGCGTGATTCGACATGCTATTGTCTAATTTTTTTTTTTTCATCAATGTGAATTTTTTGTTTTTTGTTTTCGGTTTCAAGAATAAAAAAGAATATTTTAAAATTTGCATCGAGATAATATTCAATGTAAGAAAATTCCTCTTCACATATCAATCAAATCAGATTGTATCCCATTTTTCCATATCAATCAAGCCAAACATTGATGAAAATTGTAACATCAAAACGGCTTCCCATTAGATTACCACGAAAGTTTTTGTCAAGATTCAAGAACGCACCTTGGTATGTGTTATCGGGCAAGCAACTTCCAACAGCAGAACAGAATCACAAATAGGCCTAGGGGGTCTTCTTTGTATTTAATAAAATAAGAGAGATGCAAATGCTCATGGTCTACTAAAATACATGCTGATTATTCAACAATTTTGCAGCGAAAGTGAAGAGAACAATAGGTACATTGGTGCCCTGAACTACTTCAAAATTTTCATCCACAGTAAAGTAGCAGTTGAAATTTATAGATCTCAAAAGAAACTCACGGCCAAACTTATTCTCGAGGCATTTGTAGAAGCTGCACTACTCAAGTTTCACATCTCTGCTTGGAGGATCCAACTGTAAATAGGTATAAGGCTCTGTTGGCTCTTCCCTGCAATTGCCAAAGATGTCATAAGCAGTGCGTGCGGTAAAGCAAAAACGATGATGTAAAAGGAGAACTTCATGGCAAAGACAAGATACTTAAATATGAATTGAAATGTGAAGGGCGGTTTTAGCCCTTAAAGCCAGCACTGAGTTTCATGAGTTCTAGGCTTCAAGTTACTATGAAATATTAATAGAGTTATAGCAGATGACATATACGACATATGTTATATGTCACTGGTGATAGGTTTTAGCGATTTTAATGTATAAATAATTTACAAAGACAATAGCATAGTACAAAAAGATATGCTACTAAGAATAGATTTTCTAACAAAATGTCTCACCCAGGTTTCGAGCGCATGCACTTCCAGAAGAGCTTGAAAGGTCCTGGGACTGTCTTGAATGGGTTTCCCTCAAAGCAAGCCTATGGAATAGACAAATTACATGAGCTGTCTTAATTTTGAAATTCACATGACAATTAGGAGCTTGCATAAAACAAATACAGTAGATAAGAGCATGACGAAAAATCAACGAGAACATACAGAACATGAGAAAAAAATTCACCAACACTATTCCCAGAGGGTTTAGTTCAGAAGGGGGTGATATTTCTCCTAATTGAACGGCCTTGATTTATCTACGGAGCAATCCAGGAGTAAAATTCTGTATGCAACAAACTAATGACAGGAGTGTGGCCATGAGATTACCTAGGGTTTATACACAAGGAATTTGCACAAGCTAACCAAGTCAAATGTAACTTGCGGACACAGAATTTATCATCATCTCATTGCAACACTGCTGACTACAGAATAAGTCGATCTAGCCACAAACAAAAATTTCATCGCATAGTTTACTAGGACTATCATGTGTGAATGCGAGAAATAGTGAAAAGCCATAAAAACCTGAAGTCCCCAAAACCAAAAATCAGAAACAAGCACAGTCCAGTGAACTTAAAAACTCAAAGGAAAATGTAAATCCCAATCGTATCATTAGCGATACGAAAAGCTCAAATCAATGGAATAAAACAGAGCGTAGATCTTAGAGAAAGGGTTTTGTAAATTGGACCTGAATGACATCCTCAGCTCGGTCGTTGCATCGGTGAGCCTTAGGCTCACGATGATTTCCTTCGGAAATCCCCCATGGACTCTCTCTCCTTGGCACAGGCCTATTCTCGCTCATCTTCCTCTTTCCTTTGCTTCGCCTTCTTCCTTCAACTGCGAGGGGAAACCGCGTTGCTGATGCTGCGAATCCCCAATCGGCTTCGTGAAAGGCAGATCGCAGAATACCGAAGCGGTGTCGTTTCACTCATTCTGTATCTGTTTAAAAATATTTTGGACAAAATTATATTTTGATCCTTTAATTTTATATCAAGTTTTATTTTAGTTCATTAATTTTAGTATTTTCAATCCTGTAATGCTAATACTGTAATTTTTATTAACAAAAATGTGAATATTAAAATATTATATATTTACAAAATATTATTAAATATTGATATATTAAATTTAAAATTTTTAAATAACAATAATTAATAAAAAATTATAATTTGAAATCAATGGTATATGGTCAAAATAATCAAAAAGGTACTTTATAAAAAAATAAGAAATTATATTAAAACCTAATATAAAGTTTGAAAATAAAAAAATATATATCTTGTCATTGAATTCTCTTTTTACTATGTTGGAGTATATGGTGTGATAGATGTAAATAGACTTTTTCTAGTGAAGATGTTGAGAGATTAGGGAAGGGAACTGTAATGCTACATAAAGCGAAGCATGACTTACAACTTGCAAAGCAAACGTTTACATTAGAGAAGCAAGCATGATTTATAAATGATCGTCGAAAAAAGTCTGAACTTTGCTATGTGAGACTAAATATAAATGATTCAGTGATAGATAGATTAGGAAAATGTGGAGGTGTAGTTCGAGATTGGAATGCTAATTGGGTGGGTGTTTTAATGTCTATGTTGGTAACTACCCTGTTGTTGTGACTGAGTTATTAGGAATTATTGATAGTCTTCAATTGTGCTGGGATATGAGTCTGTAGAAAGTTAGAGTGTTTATTGATTATGCAGATGTAATGAACCTCCTCCTCAAATTCAATCAGGACTTTTACCCATGTGTAAATATTATCACTTAGGCCCAATCCATTCTCTATAGAGAATGGAATATTTGGATGGATTTTATGTTTACAAAGGTCAATTATTGTGCTCATTTTTTGGTTAAGTTCACTTTAGATAGAGTAGGTGAGTATTAATCTTTACATTAACCCAACCTTTCCTGTTTGAAGATGGTGGATGAAAAAGGACTCTTTCTTGAATTCTTTTTTGTTTTGTTTTGTTTTGTTTTGTAAGTTCTATTGGCTCTTGATCTCAATTGTAAAACAAAAAAAAATTGTAATTAATGTAAATAAGAAAAAAGATTAAAGTGATATATACAGTTAGGAGTACAATTTTTTTAGTAATAATAAAACTCCTAAGAGAAAATGATAATTAAGTCTTAAAGGACGGGACCATTTTATCCTAAAAAAGTCCTAATAAAATTCAAAATACAATGTAAGTCCCATTAATCCTTAGCTAATATTATGATACATTGAAAAAGACTCAAATACCTTTAATAATTATAATAGAATATTTTAAATACAGAAATTTGCAACTTATCCTCCCAGATTTGCAACTCTATTTCCTTGATTTGCAACTTGATTTTGCAATTTTTATTATAAACACCAGACTTTAACATTTATTTTGAAAATTGTTTATAGAAACTGATTTTCTCATATTTGCAACTCCATCCAAATAGATTTGCAACTCCCTATCCCGATTTTATTTATAAACATATATCCCAACACCAACAATGAAAACCAAGTGGTACCGTCCTCCACCATTTCCATCTAACAACTTAAATGCTGGACTAACAGGGGAAAGGAGAAGTCATCAATGACATGCTTGGAACGAGATTTGACAAGATTGACGCTTGTGAGATGCAAAATGAGAGTAAGATGGCGAGAGAAGGAGAAGGAGAAGGACTATGGAAGCAGCACACGAACAAACTATAGAAAGATCGAGTGGAGAAAGAAAGGGAAGAGCAAAATTTTGAACGGCTTAGATCCAAGCAAACACAATGAAACTCGAGAGGTTTTGTTATGAACAATGTAAGAAACATAATGGTAAAGTGGGATATGAGATTGAACAGTTAGATGTGAAGATATGAAGGAGAGAGAGTGAGCAAATGAAGAGAGAGAGAGATGGAATTTCCGTAGAAGCCCTTGCATGATCTGGAAGCGGAGAAGATAGCTTTGTAACTGAGGGTATTGAAGTAATTGCGTATTTATTTTTTAATCATTTAGGAGCCAATGGGACTTTGTTTGCGTTTGAGAATTTTTTTGGAACTTTATTCACATTAAATGGCTATTTTGGGTTTCAAATGTCATTATCTCAACTCTTACCATTTGTAATCATCCTTCATCTTCCGCAACAAGTGATTCAATTAAAAGGAAGGTGTCATGAATAGGAATCTTCTGAATCGTGAGGTGCAACCATATTAAATCATTTCTCCTGTGTTTCAGGATGCTCATGCAATAAAGCGTAGCAAACAGTGGGCAAAAATTGGGAAATGTGGACAAGATTCTGTGTGTCCCTCTCCATACCAAAACAATAACTGAAGTGAGCGTCTTTTTCGTTCATCGGCCAGCAACAATGGTGCCTGCCTGCTTCTTCAATGTAACAACATATCAGAACCGACACTCCTGCTTCTCCTCCCCTTCCCAAAGGCTGCTCCACACAGCAACACCCTCCTCTGAGTCCGACAGAGACAACTCTTGACTCCAGACACTTGCAAGCAAGGACAACACTCGGCAGCCTTTTCCTTAACCTCACAAAAATCAAACACAACACTCCAAACCTTTAATCCCTTTTCATTATTCCCTTTGCCCATGATCATGAACCATCACAACATTGGACATTGCTTGCCACTATTGCAAGATCTCCCTTCGTCCGCAAACTGTTCGTGGACAATTCAAAATTCAACCACGTCTGCACATCAAAGCTTAGGAGGACCTACCCCATGTATATACTTTAGCCTTACTTTTTTTTAATAATAAAATATTTAAGTGAGTTGGGTTTTCAGACTAAGACATACTTTCAGATTAAAAAAAATTATAAAAATACTTGCAAATCACTCACCAACAAAATTTTCATATCAACAACTAAATAATAATAAAATTTGATCTCATAATGTAGGTTATGGGCTAAATCTCATCACCCAAGCCAACCTTTATTGGTAATTTAGCCATGCTTTTAAGTGCTCTTCATATAGCTGGCAAATATCTTTAGAATTAAGATACATTTTTAATCCTTGAACTTTTTTGAGGAACGTTGGATACTTTATATTGATAAGTAAAGCAATTTTTTCTTGAACAATTTTTCTAAAGAACAAAAAACTCCTTTTATTAGTTTGTCATTAATTTTTTTGTTTTCTTCTAACATGACATGTGTGCAATTCTCATGCACAATGACAAATAAAAATCTAACCATATCTTTTGATATTAATTTATCTTTAAATTTTTTGATGAGCATTGAGTATTTTAAAGTCTTGTTAAAATAAAATTTTAATAAATATTATTAAAATATTAAATGTTTGAATATACTAATAATTTAAATATTATTCATAAATATTCATCCAAAATTTATAAATTATTTTTAAAATATTAATAATTCAAACTATTTTTTTTATTGATAGATGACTTGTAATTTTTTATATATCAATTATATTTTTAATATTGATTAAGTTTTTTAAATTTTTTAGACCCTTCTTTATAAATTTTTTGATCAACTAACAATATCCCTCCAAAATATTAAAACAACCATTTTAATATTTTAATATTTTGTAACTTTGTATTACATAAAGTGAATGAACTTCCAAATTAATAGAAAAGTTGTTTTCCCTCGTCTCTTTATTATTCTCATGTTAAGTAGCTTTTTTCGTAGCATATTAATGAGATAGATGATATCTTTTAAATAAACATTTTTATTAACATGTTGGTCTTTATCTATCATGTTTTTTATTTTACATCTAACATGGTTAACACTGTAATTTATAAAGAGTATTAAATTTGAGTTGTAAAATATTTTTAAAGAAGATTGTTAGCTGACCAAAAAATTAAAAAAATAATTTAAAAATTTTAAAAAATTAATCAATATTAAAAATACAATCGAGATATAAAAAAATTACAAGTCATATAAATTTTTTTAAACAAATTAGTTTAAACTATTAATATTTATAAATTTTAGATGAATACTTATAAATAATAATGTTTAAATTATTAAATATGAAAATATTTAATATTTTAATAATATTTATCAAATTTTATTTTAAAAAGATTTTAGAATTTTCAGTACTCTTAAAAAAAACTTTAAATATCCAATATTTTTGAAAAAAAGTTCAAAAACAAATTAATATCAAATAAATATGGTTAAAGTTCTACCTACTATCCTATATGTGGGCCCCACACACATATTATGTGCGTAAAAAATAACAAAATTAATGTCAGATTATTAGAAGAGTTTTTTGTTCATTGAAAAAATAACTCTCAAAAAAATTACTTTATTAATATAAGATATTTAGTGCTTTTTTAAAAAAAATTAAAAATAAAAATGGATGTTAACCCAATAGTTTTGCCTTGCAAGAAAATGACGACCAATGAATACAACTTGATTAATGAGATGATGATGATGATTCAGGTTCCAAAGATAGATAGATCTAAGTCAAGCATTTTATAAAATATCAACTCCTAATTGTTACAACAAGAAGAAAAGGAGATGACGACAAAATTAGAAATTAAAGTGAACAAGATTCTGGCTTGTAGATCCGGCCATGATGATGATAAGCTTGAGCTTATGCTGCTGTCATAATACTGAGCTGGCTTCATCTCTGCGGGGTTCTCTGGAGGTTCATCAGCCAAAGATTTGCCATTTCTGGGTTTAGAGCTCAAACAAGCAGGGATTTCCGAGTATGATGAGAGGGTCTCCTTGTTTGGCTTATGGCTTGCGCATAGTTCACTGTTTTCTCTTATATCCAACCTTTCACCAAGCTTCTCAACGAAATCATCGGGAAGTTGTAAGACTCCACTCAATTTGTTGTGGCTCAAATTTAGCTGATCCAAGTTTAAGAGTGAACCTAAGCTAGGAGGTACTGGTCCGCTGAGAGTATTGTTATCTAAGGAGAGAGCAGTTAGGTTCTTCAAAGAAGAAAAACAATCGGGTATGGGACCAATCAAACCACACCCTGAGAAACTCACTGATTTGAGCTTTTTAAGGTTCCCTATGAACAAGGGCATCCCTGCTTTTATGGGATTGTCATCAATGACAAAATATTCTAAACCCTCTAAACTTGATAGTGCTTCAGGAATAGGCCCACTTAGGAAATTATGACTCAGATCAAGCAAGACTAACCTCTTGAGTTTTCCCAAATCTGAAGGTACTTTGCCAGCAAGCCTGTTAGAATTCAAATCAATTTTCTGCAGATCTTGAAGCTGGCCAAGAGAATAAGGCAAGTTTCCTTCAATCTCATTCCAACTCAGGTCCAAAATAGTCATGCTTTTCAAATTACCAATTTCCTTGGGGATTTGACCACTCAAGTTATTGTAACTGAGGTCAAGCTGCTCTAAACAAACCAACCCGCCAATCTCGGCTGGGATTTGTCCCTGAAGGCTGTTTTGGGACAGACTCAAGACTCTCAGTCTAGGAACCTGACCTAAACTTGGAGGTAACTCTCCATAGAGCGATGGGTTAGATTGCAAAGCTAGGTGTTCCAAGGAAGAGAGAGAACCAAAAAGTGTTGTGGGCAGTGTGATTGGGGAAGCCACAAAGCAATTGAAAATTGAAAGTGTTTTCAAATAAGGCAGTTTCAGCAACGACCCAGATAGGTAAGCAGAAGATTTACAAGGTGGAGATACTATGTCAGCACCAATATGAATATCAGTGACATGAAAGATTTGCGGGTCATCATCACTAACTTCGCATTTAACACCAGGCCATGGAGTGTCCGTACAAGGCTGTGGATGTTCTTGGACCCAATCGGAATCTTCTAGAAGAGCACCCATCACTTCAAACAGTCCCAGTGATTCCTCTTCTCCCATCGCCGTTTCGTTTTTGAGAACACTGACTCCCATTGCCATCACTTGGCCTGTAAACACAAGGAGCCCAACAAGAACCAGATGCACAGAAGCCATTTGTGAAAACGCCAAACCGAAAGATGTTTCAAGCTGAGAGTTTTGGAGGATATGATGGACCCAAGAGACCAGGTTCTCATGAGCTTTATGGAATGTCGCTGATGGCAAAGGTGAAGAACGTGAAGCGAAGTACCCTGGGTCATTGTTTGTGTCAGCGTGAAGGCTGCAAAGAGAGACGAAAGCTGTCGCATTTGCTTCCCACAATTTACAATTTTGAGAGCGACAGTGATGACTGATGAGTTTGCAAGGTTAAAGGAGCAAGAGTGGGGAAAGAAAAAGGCAACGGTCATAATAAGGCAATAGGGCAATAATGCAAAATAAATTGTCATCAGACTTTTCGATCATCAATTAGTCAACAATTAATTACTCCCTCCAGTATACAAACTTTAACCGCTCGTTTGGTTAGGACTAAGAAAAAATGTACTACAAGAGAAAATGGTCAAAAATAAACATTTGAGAGTTTTTTTTCTTATACTATACTATTCTCTATTTTCTCTTTTTCTCTAACTTTTCCCTGATCCAAATAAAAGTAAAGTTTCTCTGGTCCTTAACACAGGTAATTGATTTTTGAAATTTGATCTTTTATTTATTTATTATGTTAAGTTAAATTATTAGACGTTAATTTATTTTGGTTAGTAAGCAGAAAGTAGAAAGAATAATAAAATTGAAAAATTACACATTTTTTAACCATTTTAAAAAATATAACAATCACTTCTTAGCAAGGGCATAATTGTAAGAGTATTTTGAAATAACTATTCCCTCCCTTTCAAAGATAATTAAGTAGTGTGTTTTTGAGAGTATTTTGTGTCGTTATTTCATTCGTCGAGGATTCATTAATCTTCACCTATGTTCATGGTCTTGTACATTAACTAAATTTATCTTTATGTTCATAATGACGTGTGTGTGTGTGTGTGTGTGTGTGTGTGTGTGTGTGTGTGTGTGTATAGCAAACTTGACTCCTGAAAATAATCCATACAATACATCGTTAAAATCACAAACAAGAGGATACGAAATAATACAACTTGTCTCCTCAAAATCATTTATCAGCAATCTGCAGGCTGTTTGGCTCATACTTCATATTCTCTATTATTTTGAATAAAAAATTTCAACGAACGAGAAGAAGCAATAAAAGACTATCAAATTCACACACACAAACAATCCATTATTCACTTTAAGCCGATTACAGCCTTTCAATTATTCGACAAGCAGCTTCAGATAGCTCCTCGCGTACTCCATCATCTCCTCAGACACGTCACCGGGTACTTTGCCCACAGTCAGACACAGTAATATGATCATAACACGCACATCAACCCCACTGCTTTTACCACAAACTTCTCTTCGTCATCATATTTCTGATGCTTCAATGCTTGCCTCGCTGAATTCTCCAGAACTCCCTCTGCTTCAGAGTACTATTTGGAGCAATTAACGTACACGTTCTTCAGTTCCTCGTCTCTGTCTGTCGAGGCTAAGGTATTCATATCTTCACATATAATGTCCGCGCGCTTTTGCTTGCTGATGCAGCCCACCACGGCAGTGGCTATGCTGACCAGGTCGTCTACTGGCCGGAGCCCCGACTGGAGTTCATCACGCAGGTCTGAGGCGTGTCTGAGTTGAAGCATTCTTGCTCCACCAGTGTAGCCTGATGTGAATGGCGGTGATAGGATGATCAGAGGAAGAGCAAAATAGAGAAGACTAGTCATGGAATTATCATTTGCAAAAGTCATCGTATTCTCATAATCTTGATAATTAATGATAACAACTATATATTATCGTGCAATATATATACACACACGAATTAATTTGATCCTTCCATGGTCTTATGAATTTAAGTCTATAAATCCTAATGATAGATGTTCAATAGAATTATAAAATGTTTTTTTTATTCTATGGTTTAATTATAAGATGCTTATTTCTTTAACAAAGTGATATGTCTTTGTTCCCTCATGGCCCGTTTGGTAAGAGGAGGTGGAATCATAAATCTTGCATATTTGGTACATTTAAGTTGGCTTCTAAGTAAAAGTCACTCTCATCAAAATTGATGGAACTCATTTCACTTTTCTCAAAGTTTCAAGCTTGACCCTTCTACCCTATGACCATCTCTCTTTATTATTTGACATTGACGACTCAGGAATGAAGAGAACTATAGACCAGAGGGCAATGACTCCGGTGATGACAACGATGGACGGCCGACGGCGATGACAATGACTCGTGCTCTAACTCCTTTGAACGACAATGGCTAACGGTGATCTCTTTCAAATGGAGATGCGCCCCCAAAATGAAACCCATGGAAGACGATCATGTTCTAACTTTTGGGTATGTGATTTCAATGCCTATTTACTTAAAAGGAGTGAATACGATTTTGGTTTGATTTTTGTCTTCATTTTTGGGAGAGAGTTCCTCTGTTGCATCTGAGAAAGCCATCTTTGCTCTTCTCCATGAAAGATTGAGTTAACTCGGGGCTGTATAAGGCTTTTGATAGGGATACGGAAGCAGAATCGTGCTAGTTTAGGGACAGAACTCTAAAACAACAAAAACACAAGAACAAAAAGAAAGGGACGAAATTTATGACGGAAATAAAAAAAAGGTATGAAGTAAATAATAGGATAATGATCAAGGCGAAGATCCTCTAAAGCACCTGCCTCTAGGAACCTCAACCTTCGAAGATACCACAAGAGTTGATCACGCTCTTGATCACGTCTGTCTCACACGGGATGCCACCACAAAGCACTAAGGCTCACGAGAGTTATAAACTCTAAAATGAATAATTTCATTCAACTTCTGTGTTGTTTACAATAGGAAGCATGCCTAATTTATATAGACTCAGAGAAAAATATTTCTAAAATTAAAACCCTAATTTCCTAATACTAAAAGGAGAAATAATATAAAATAATGATAAAATATTCAGCCACATAATTTAGGAGATGTGATCCTAAAATTATGGGATTACAAAATTTAGAAATTAATATTATAATTAATTCTAACCTTTGACTAGACTCAAAATAGAAAATCAAATCAAAGGACCATTAAAATAGGAAATAATTTAGGAGACAATCAAGGGATCATAAAGGATTTAAAATCACGCCACCCTTGACTTTTTTACTAGGGTTTCATGCCTCCTTGCTTGCAAGAGGCTCAACTTGTAGTCTTCCTTGCATTGGGCTAAGGTCTGCATCTCTTGGGTTTGACTCTTCATGAATTTGATCTTAAATACATTATACACGTATAGATGCTCTCCTTTGGGCTTGAGAGGAGTGCCCTAATGCTTTCCAAGCTCTTGAACTTCTTGCATAAGACTGAACAAGGCTTGCTTCATGGCTTTGGTTCGGGCTCTTATCATTGGACCTCCAATGTTGTAATAGGTCTTTAGGTACGTTGGATTGAAGTATTGGGCTCCTTCTATGTCACCATACTCATGATTACCATCCTCAAGCTTCGTTGCCATTAATACTATGTCATCCGTGCCATGGAGTCCATCACCTTTGTTCCAGCCGGACAGAGAGGAGATGAAGAAAGTGCTTGACAAGTTTGATAGCATCAAGGATGGAACATCTCTCAGCAGGAGCACAAGGCGCTGGGGATTGGGAATATTATCCGTCATCGACCTTCAGGGGTTGTGAACGACGAGGACAGTGGAGATTTTTTTTTTAATTGTAGGGTATTTTAATCCTTTTAAATATATATATATATATATATATAAAATAATTTTTTTGCCTCACTCTCATCTTCATATCAAATATACTTTTAAATTTTACTTTTACTCTCCCTCTTACTTTTGTTTTGCTTCCACTCCCATAAAAACGTTTCTTTTCTACCAAAAAAGTTATTTAACAACTTTATATTATTATGTATATGAATTATTTGTTAAATATTAGATTCATTTCAAACATAAGATTCGCTTTGAAAATCTCATGTTTTAATTTATAAAGCATTTTGCATATTTTTAAGAAAAATTAATAAAAAAGGCTTTGTTGAAAGAAAAATTGATCCCCAAAATCAAATACAATTCAAAAATTAAGGCTAATATTCTATTTATTAAACAATATGAACAAATAATTGAAATACCCCTCATTTTAAATTAATGAAATTGAAAAAAAAAATAAAATAAAGGCTATCTGTTCAACACATGCACCCTCAACATAAACCTTACGCCCAATATTTTGTTGGTTTAAAATGAAAGGTATTTCGATCATTTATTTATATTATTTAATGAATAAATATTAATTTTAATTCTTAAATTATATTTGGCCCTTGGGGCTAATTGAAAGGTTTTTTTCACTAATTTTTTTAATTTTTAAAGACAATTAATGTCTTTTTTTTTAATGCCTTAAAAGTAGGAGAATGACAGTCGGTCCCAGAATATTAAATTAATAACAATAGTTTCTAACAAGATATTTTGAAAAATAAATTAAAAATATTGATCCATATAATTATAAATTCTAAAATTTTAATTATAAATAAGTATTCAAATGTCAAATATAACTTTTATATCGTAACATATATTTTTTCTTGTAATTATTTTAATTAATATTTACAACTTATTTTTTAAAAATTTGGTTAGAAACCTAATTGTCTTAATTCAATCTTTTGGGAATTTAACTATTATTTTCTTTTAAAAGTATATGTTAAAATTATTTACATCCTATCAATTTTTTAATGCTTTAAAAGAAGTTTAAAGTTCGAAAAAATTAAAATTTTAATTGCGTAACTATATATTTCTCTCGTTAGGTGTGTGTCTTTGGTAAAAATACATTATACTATGGAATATAAACTTAAAGACATTATTTTCATAAAAGATTTTCCTTTTTGAATGCATGCAAATGTTTTTCTTTTGAAGGTGATCTTTTTTTGAAGCATAGCATGATATTAAAGGCTAGTTTGATTTTTATTTTTAGATACTGTTTTCTGTTTTAAAAAAATTATTTGAGGAAATATTTTGTATTTAAATATTTTTAAAACTATCCTCATGTTTTGTTTCTGGAAACAATTTAAACTGTTTTTTTTATTTTATTTTTAAAGCACACTATATTTAACTGTTATAAATTATCTCTAAACATGACCAACAATTAAGCCATCAAACATCAATCACTAGCAACTACTATTGGCCTTTTTTTTAATTTTAAAAGTTGTTTTCAAACTAATATAATTATATATATTTTATTTGATTTGTTTTGAAAAATATAACAAAACCAAACAGGTTATGATACAAAATCAAACATATTTACAAAATAGTTTTCAAAAACCAAAAAAAAAAACCAACAAAACCAAACAAATCGTAAATTACACAATTTTATCAAGAAGAAATTTTTACTTTTTTTTTTTTAAAAAAAAAGCCTTTCATGCGTAATGGAATATTTGATGAGTCGCCAATGCGTGACCCATTCCGATAAGAATTGCCAAGACTAGTAATTAAATAGACATTCTCAATTAGAGACTAAAACAAAGTCACGCAATAAACTATGATTGTGTTTCAATTCTTGTTCTGGATGCTAATTATGTTGCTGTCTATAAGAAGAGGACATACTAGTTTATCACTCTTTAAGTCTCAAATTATGAAGGCATTTTTAGAAGAGATTCAATGCATTAAAATATAAAATATTTTTATAAAAATAAAATTTATTAATAATATTTTTTAAAATAATATTTTTTATATACTTTTATTTTTCATATAATAAAGACGAAACCCAAGGCTCACAGGCTAGTTGACTCCTTGACTATCCCTTGTCATAATAGCAATCCAATCAACAAGAACATAGAGTTAGAAAATGAGTGGGTTCGGCTTATATGAGCTCGGCTTTTATGAGCCCAGGCCCTTAAGCTCAATTTTTTTTTTAAAATGCTTCATTTTTTAAAATCTGACTCTTATATAAGGAATTTAGAGTCAGGCCCAAGCTCTTATTATTTTTTTATAATTTTAAAAATTAAATTTTTAATTATAATATTTCATGTATTTTTTAAAAATACAAATTATAATGTTTAAAATTAAAAATAAATAATACAAATTCTAATTTTAAAGTATAAATTTAATTTAAAATTAAAAATATTTTATTTTTTAAAAAAAAATAAAAACAGACCTAAAAAAACCGGCCGAGCCCGAACTCATTTTTTTAGGGCCTATTAGGAC